AGAAATAAACTGAATTGAAGTGAAATTGAATTAAATGTAACTTTCCAGGAGGATTGATGAGGAAAAGGAGGATGCAACCATGAAGACAACTTGAAGGCTGCTATCAAAGCCACAGAGCTTCCTGAACACCTCAGCATAACCATAGGCTGGCCTCCTCCGTGCCAGACCACAGAGACGCAGTTATCATAGCAGAGGAGGCGGAGCCAACATCAAAAGCAGAATAATAAACTAAATATCAAAGGTAAAAAATATATGTTATTACTGATCTTATTAAAAAGACTAATTTTATCGGGGTATCCATGATCTGTGAGCCACAACCATCAAATAAGTAAAGATTGAAATATTTCACCGAATGGGTCGAATATCCACCTTATATAGGTTGTCTTTTTTTTTTTTTTGCTGTACCTAAATGTAAATAAATAGATCAGAAAATACCAGAACAGCAACTCTCTCACTAATTAAAACAATTTCACCTCATATTTGGTTTCTGTTTATCAGAAAATCATAGAAAATAGGAGATGAGACTGTGGATTAAGATCCTCTCTCCCATCAGAGGTTAGAGTCACTAACCTGTGACATTTGCTTGGTTATCTCAGCTGCTTTGAGTGTAAGAGAAGTTTTCCAGAGAGCTGGTTTCAACTCGGGAGTTGATGACTGTCGTCAGCGATCTGGAAGAAGAGCAAAGAATAATTTGACATGGAAGAGGAGCAGAGACATAAGAGTCTTTATGAAGAAAATAATAACATGAATGGAAATGTTATATTAGAAAAAACAAAAATGAAAAAATCACCCACCCATTCCATTACAACAAACATAAAGTGTTGCTAAAATATCATCATTTTAAGACTTACTATGATGGATATGTTTATGCAGATAACAAGCAGAAAAGGTTAACGGTGGAAAACATTAGAGAGATGCTTCTTTTTCTGCCCAAAACCGCGATCATCCTGAGACTCTATGAATAGCATCCTCGTGTTCACACAACAGCCTCTCTTACCACCACTGGATATATTTGGCAGCTTTTGTGATCAAGTAGCAGGCAGAAGAATGAACGACAGAGTTTCTATTAAAAGCACAGGCTCACCTCCCACTCCTCCTTACAGTAACTCAGGCTCAGCTACACGTTTCTACTGCTGCAAGACCAAATATGCTGCAAAAATCCTACCATTTATCATGTCGATGTTATTTCCCCAGAGTTGACAGCATCCAGCTATAAAGCATCTCCTCTAAGAGCAGTAATAAATGCAAGGCTTAAAACTTTCCTTTTTGATAAAGCTTATAGTTAAAAACAGAGTGATGGGTGCTTAGAAGCTGGGTAAGTAGAGATGTAGGTGGAGGTTGAGCTTTAACAGCGCGATCAGGCGGGGGAGAAATTTCAGTCCGGATAGACGTTATTCCTTGGCTTTACAGACGTTGGCTCTATCTTTTTTATACCTATGCAAAATACTAAAGTTATCCTGAGCTATTTTCTGCATATGTGCTGCTATAGGCTTAGACTGCTGGAGGACATAGGGACCCCTTTTCATCATTCTGTCTCTCTTCTCCCATTCTTCAGTATTTGTTAATTAACTCCCCGTT